TTAATCATCTTAGCTGCTCTTCTCTGCACTTTTTCCAAAGTCTCGACGTCTTTTTTGTTTTGACCAAGGGTGACAGGATAGCATTCTTCCAATATCTCAGGGACTGCCCCAAAGAAGAGGGAGTCAAGCTATTCTCCAAAGCGCCCGAAGGCAGGACAAGAAGCAACGGATGGAAACTATATCAAGGAGAGAAGCAACCTGGAACTAAGGAGAAAATTTCCTGACAGTGGGAACAATTAACCAGTGGAACAACCTGCCTCCAGATGTTGTGGCAGCTCCATCACTGGAGGTTTTCAAGAAGAGATTGGACAGCCATTTGTCTGGAATGATATAGGGTCTCCTGCTCGAGTAAGGGGTTGGACTAGAAGACCTCCAAGGTCCCTTCCAACTCTGTTATTCTGTTATTCTGCCTCGGGATGGACGGCAAGCTGCAAGGACCGAATCTCGACCGCCCAGGTGCTGTCCATCAAATGCAACCTTGATTGTAAAACTCACTCACAAAAAAGCTTGTTTGGAAAGTGGTTGTTATACACCTCTCAAGGCAGTGGAATTCCCTAAGTAGATTATGTGATGCCTGATGAAATATTTTCCTTGTGTTTGTCCTCAATTTGCTGATTTCATTAGTTCTCCGGGCAATCTGTGTCAGGTGGTGCACTGGGGGGGGGGGGGAGACAGAAAAGGAAAATGATAGTTTTTCTTCCTTCTCTCTCCTCTACACGCATTTCAAGGTCTTCTCACCGGGAAACAAATCAATTTTTCTCACACCCTTCTCCTTCCAACTGGCTCAGTCTTCCTCTACTCAATGCAGTCAAAGGCTAGTTTGGTTTGGTGGCTGGGTGTCAGGACAGTCACCTGGAGACGGTGAGTTCTAGTCCCGCCTTAGGCATGAAAACCAGCTCTGTGACTTTGGGCCAATCACCAGGAGATGGTGAGTTCTAGTCCTGCTTATCATGAAAGCCAGCTGGGTGACTTTGGGCCAATTACCAGGAGACGGTGAGTTCTAGTCCCGCCTTAGGTATGAAAGCCAGCTGGGTGACTTAGAGCCAATCACCAGGACACTGTGAGTTCTAGCCCGCCTTAGACCTGAAAGCCAGCTGGGTGACTTTGGGCCCAATCACCAGGAGATGGTGAGTTCTAGTCCCGCCTTAGGCATGAAAGCCAGCTGGGTGACTTTGGGCCAATCACCAGGAGACGGTGAGTTCTAGTCCCGCCTTAGGCATGAAAGCCAGCTGGGTGACTTTGGGCCAATCACCAGGAGACGGTGAATTCTAATCCCGCCTTAGGCAGGAAAGCCAGCTGGGTGACTTTGGGCCAATCACCAGGAGACAGTGAGTTCTAGTCCCATTTTAGGCATGAAAGCTAACTGGGTGACTTTGTGCCAGTCATTCCCTTTCAGCCCAACCCACCTCGCAGGACTGTTGTGGGGAAAATAGGAGGCAGAAGGCACATTAGAGATGTTCCCCCCCCCCACAGTTATTTATGACAAAAATAAAGGCGGGATTAAAAAAAAATCTTTCCCAAAAAAATGATGGCATGTAATCAATCCCTCAATCAGTGCAACGACAGATGGTCTTCTGTGTGTCTCCCCTCCCGTTTTTGACTGACAGATGTCTTGCCAGGGATTTTGCAAGGCGGCATTTGCGAGCCGCTAATTATTCACTTTGGGGAAAATAGGTCCCCACAAATTGAACGGGACTGCTTCTAAATCGGTATCTTAAAATTATGTTTGCAGGCAGGGTTTCTGCTGGTTTTCTTAAAAATAGCCCTTTTTTGGAGCCAACTGGCTGGAATGGCTGTTGCTAAGCGAGGCAGTTCTTAAGTGAGGTTTGCCCCATTTTACGACCTTTCTCACCACCGTTGTTAAGTGAATTATTGCCTTTGTTAAGTGAGCAACCCAGTTGTTAAGTGAAATTGGCTTCCCCCATTGACTTCGCTTGTCAGAAGGTTGCAAAACGGGATCGCGTGATCCCCAGGACACCGTGACCGTCATAAATACAAATCAGTTGCCAAGCATCTGAATTTTGATCCCATGACTATGGGGGATGCTGCTGCAATGGTCGCAAGTGTGAAAAACGGTCGTGTCCCTTTTTCCCAATCCCATTATAACTTTGAACGGTCACTAAATGAACCGTTGTACGTTGAGGACAACTGTAGAACATGTAAAGATGCTGGACTTGCTTTGCAGATGGTTTATGATTCAAGTTATGCTCGCCAATGAGAGAACATATTCCAAACTTGAACTATGTATAGGCCAGGGGTAGGCAATCTTGGCCCCTTCATGATTCGTGGACTTCAACTCCCAGAATTCCTCAGCCAGCATGGGGGAAACTTTGGCCCCTTCATGATTCGTGGGCTTCAACTCCCAGAATCCCTGAGCCAGTATGGCTCAGTATGGAAACCTCTCCATTTGTCCTCAGTGTGGCTGGCTCAGGAATTCTGGGAGTTGAAGTCCATGAATCATAAAAGAGCCAAGGTTGTCTACCCCTGGTATAGGTAGTCCTCAATTCACGACCACAATTGAGTCCAAAATCTCTGTTGCTAACTGAGGCATGTGTTAAGCAAATTTTGCCCCCTTTTATGACTTTTCTTGCCACCGCTTTACGTGAATCGCTGCAGTTGTTAAATTAGTGACACGGTTGTTTGGTAGCTCTGGCTTCCCCGTTGACTTTGCTTGTCAGAAGGTTGCAAAAGGGGATCACGTGACCCGCCCCAGGACACTGCAAACCGTCATAAATAGAAACCAGTCGCCAAGCGTCTGAATTTTGATCACGTGACCACGGGAAGGCTACGACGGTCGTCAGGGTGAAAAAGGGTCATAAGTCACTTTTTTCAGTGCCGTTGCAACTTTGAACGGTTATTAAATGAACTGTTGTGAGTCCAGGACTACGTGTATATAAACTTATATTTCCATTTCTAAGGATATTTCTACTTTTACCTGTAGGAAACTTACTTTTCATTTATGGAGATGCTCAGTCCTCCAGGTCCTGGTTGTCCCAAAGGTGCTTTTTCAGGAGGCAACTGGACTTTCTTGATGATGATGATGATGATGATGATGATGATGATGATGATGATGATGATGATTATTATTATTATTATTATTATTATTATTATTATTATTATAAATAATAATAATAATAAAGTTGGAAGGGACCTTGGAGGTCTTCTAGTCCAACCCCCTGCTCAGGCAGGAAACCCTATACCATTTCAGACAAATGGCTGTCCAGTCTCTTCTTAAAAACTTTCAGTGTTGGAGCATTCACCGCTTCTGGAGGCAGGTTGTTCCACTGGTTAATTGTTCTCACTGTCAGGAACTTTCTCCTTAGTTTCAGGTTGCTTCTCTCCTTGGTTAGTTTCCATCCTTTGCTTCTTGTCCTGCCTTCAGGTGCTTTGGAGAATAGCTTGACTCCCTCTTCTTTGGGGCAGCCGCTGAGATATTGGAGCATTGCTATCCTGTCCCCCTTCGTCCTTCTCTTCATTAAACTAGACATACCCAATTCTAGCAACCGTTCCTCATATGTTTTAGCCTCCAGTCCCCTGATCCTCTTTGTTGCTCTTCTCTGTACAAGAAGCTTCTTCAGCTCTGACTGGATGGTGGGGAAGGGAAGGATTTATACTTCATTTGTATCCTTTTAGAGAGTAGTTGAAGCTACCTTGAGGTTTACCTGTGTCCTCAGGGTCACCTGTGTGGTGCAAATGGGTGTGGAGCCTTCTTGGAACTGCTGAAAGGACTGTGTTGTAGACTGGAGATAGATGATGTTGTGTCCGTTCAGTTCTGTTGAGAGAGGGCTGCTCAATTTTGACCCAGATGGCCTCTTGGGCCCCTCGTTCAAACCAGCGGTCCTCTCTGTCCAAAAGATGGACTTGGCTGTCTTCGAAAGAGCGGCCTTTGTCTTTTAAATGCAGATGGACGGCTGACTCTTGTCCTGATGGGTTTGCTCTCCTATGTTGTGCCTTGTGTTTTGAAGTGGTGGTTTTGTTTCCCCGATGTACAGATCTGCACATGGCTCACTCCATTGTACTGTATATTCCACATTGCTTAGTTTGTGTCTGGGTGTTTCATCCTTGGGGTGGACTAGCTTCTGCCTTAGCGTATTCTTGGGTTTGAAATGTATACGTATGTTGTGTTGGCTGAAGATTCTCCTGAGCATTTCCGATATTCCTGCAACTGATAGTCATTCCATACGTTGTGAAAAAAAAAGCACCTTTGGGATTACTTCTCACTTATGCGTAAATAAAAAGATATTAATCCACTTTTCTAGCTCGAGCTGAGAACCTCACCAAGATTTACGGCTAACAAGGCGGAACACCTAGAAAGCAGCAATATCAGAATTGACCCCCTGTTCCTCGCTTCCATCGAACCAAGTTAGCTTAAAAACTTTCCCAGAGGAACTCAAAGGGAAATCGGGAGGCACCCGCAGTGAAAGGCCGGGGAAACTAGAAATCAGATGATAAATGGTTCCGACACACGGGGGTCATCGTAGAGGAGATCTGTCTTTGCTATTGGCATCTTCATTTCCACAGCGAACCTGCTAAGGGCAAGAAGAAGCGGGAAAGCAGGAGAGACACGTGTGGTGGATTTTGGAAATAAACCCACAAGAGAACGGCAAGCGTAGGCGTCCGGTGTGGCCTGGGGTTCAAGCTCTTTGGATCCTACCTTGTTTCCCCCCAAAATAAGACCTAATCGGAAAAAAAATGCCCTAATGCGTCTTTTGGAGCAAAAATTAATATAAGACTCGGTCTTATTTGGGGAGGGGGGAAATACGGGTAGTTCCCTTGATGCTTTGTTTTGGTTTTTCCCGAAGCTATATGGTGGGTCACGGTATGGGTTATACACTGAGTTTTTTTGGGCTAACAGCAGTGGTGGGATTCAGCCGGTTTGCACCGGTTCAGTAGAACCGGTAGCTAACGTTTGTTGAGTTTGGAGAACCGGGTGAACCCATGCTGCTTCTAGAAGTTCGTTCTAGGCCTCAGAGGCCTGGAGGAGGTCTCCCAGGCCTAGAATGGCCGACCGGAAGTGCATGGGTGTCACTTCCGGAAGTGCGTGGGTGTCACTTCCGGAAGTCCGTTCTAGGCCTCGGAGGCCTGGAGGAGGCCTCCCAGGCCTAGAACAGCCCACAGGAAGTGCGTGGATGTCACTTCTGGAAGTCCGTTCTAGGCCTCGGAGGCCTGGAGGAGGTCTCCCTGGCCTACAACGGCCGACAGGAAGTGAGTGGATGTCATTTCCGGAAGTCTGTTCTAAGCCTCGGAGGCCTGGAGGAGGCCTCCCAGGCCTAGAACAGCCCATAGAGGAAGTGCATGGATGTCACTTCCAGAAGTCCGTTCTAGCCCTCGGAGGCCTGGAAGAGGCCTCCCAGGCCTAGAACAGTCCACAGGAAGTGCGTGGATGTCACTTCCATAAGTCCGTTCTAGGCCTCGGAGGCCTGGAGGAGGCCTCCCAGGCCTAGAACAGCCCACAGGAAGTGCATGGATGTCACTTCCGGAAGTCCATTCTAGGCCTCAGAGGCCCAGGCCTGCATCCACGCAGAGAACCGAATGTTAAGATATTTGAGTCCCACCACTGGCTAACAGCTTAATATTCTTCGGTTGTCTTCCCTTGAAATTTTCCAGGGGTGCGAAGGGCACGCCGCACGGAAGCCATGAGCCCCGCCTGCCTGCCTCTCATTTTCCTATTGCTGCTGGAGAGGACGTCTCGCGCCCACTTCCCCGAAGAATCTGGGCCCATCAGCGTCGCTCTGGAGGACTGTAAGTGCCCGGCTGGAGAGTTTTTCCAAACCGTTTTCCAACTGGGGGGGTTACCTTGTTGAACGACAGGTAGTCCTCAACTTACGACCATAACATGGATCCAGAATTAAGGTCGCTATGCAATCCAGTTGCTAAGTGAGTCCTCCCAGGACCGGACCTGATTTTACGACCACTTATACCATAGTTAAGTGAATTGTGTGGTCGTTAAGTGAGTTGTGTGGTCGTTAAGTGAATCGTGTGGTCTTCAAGTGAATCGTGTGGCCTTTAAGTGAAGTGTGGTCGTTAAGGGAATCAAAGGGTCGTCAAGTGAATTGTATGGTCGTTAAATGAATCCTGTGGCTGTTAAGTGAATCGTGTGGTCATTAAGTGGATCATGTGGTCTTTAAGTTGATCGTGTGGTTGTTAAGTGAATCGTGCAGTCAAGTAAATTGTACAGTCACTAAGTGAATCGTGCGGTTGTTGAGGGAATCGTGTGATTATTAAATGAATCACATGGTCATTAAGTAAATCTTGTAGTCGTTAAGTGAATCGTGATCAAGATGTGGCAGTCATCCTAAATACCGGTATAAGCTGGTTGTCAGACACCTAGATTGCGATCACGTGGTGGTTTATCTTACACTATCTACAACAGTGATGGCGAACCTTTTAGAGACCGAGTGCCCAAACTGCAACCCAAAACCCACTTATGTATCGTCAGGTGCCGGGTGGGTGTGGCCCATTGAATGGGTGTGGCCCATTGGGTGGGCGTGGCTGCGGTGATAACAGCAGAGTGGGTGGGACTAAAAAGTTCAATCAATCAATTCCAACTTTGCGAGATCTTTTTTTTCCCCGCGAGTTGAAATTGGTTGATTGATTGAATCTTTTTTTTTGCTTTTGCACACGGCAGTGGAGGCCTAAAGCAAAAAGGTTTTATAAAACCCAGCTGAAAGCCTAGGACTGGGGTGACGGCATGCGTGCCCACAGAGAGGGTTCTGCGCGCCACCTGTGGCACGCGTGCCATAGGTTCGCCACTACTGATCTACAATATCATACACCAGTAACAATATAAATACACCTGCTAATACAGTAGGATCCAACAAGCCACAGATACAGCAGGAAACGGAAGAGAGAAAACACATCAGCCGAGCCTTCCCTTTATACAATGGCTCTTAAAGAGACTCAGACCCTGCTGAGTCATTCCCATCATTATATTTTACATCTTACATTACATAAGCTGGTTAGCTGTTAAATCAAGGCCTTGACACATTAACAGAATCTTGCAAGTCTGAAAGTACATCTGACCCCATAGATAGATAGATAGACAGATAGAAATAAATGATTGATAGATAGACAGACAGATAGACAGACAGACAGACAGACAGACAGACACAGAGAGAGAGAGCAATAGCCCTCTCTAAACCAGTGTTTCTCAACCTTGACAATTTTAAGGCATGTGGACTTCAACTCCCAGAATTCCACAGCCAGCAATGCTGGCTGTGGAATTCTGGGAGTTGAAGTCCACATGCCTTAAAATTGTCAAGGTTGAGAAACACTGCTCTAAATAATTTACAGAGTCAGCCTCTTGCCCCCTAACAATCTGGAAGGATGGAAGGCTGAGTCAACCTTGAGCCGGTCAGAATCGAACTGCTGGCAGTGAACAGTGAATTAGCCTGCAATGCTGCATTCTAACCACTGCACCACCAGGGCTCTTTGCAAAACTTCTTTGAAGTAGGATTTGAATCCACCTCAGCAGTCCCGACCTGATCCTACATCCATCAAAAACAAACGAGGCATTTTCATCCCCCCACTCTCCCGCCCCTTGGACTTTCCTCATCCTGAGGTTGGATAACTAGACCAGGATAACTAGACAGGTCGTCCTTGACTTACAATAGTCTGTTTAGTGACCGTTCGAAGTTACGACGGCGTCGAAAAAAAGTGACCTGTGACGGGTTTTCAGAGTGACCTGTGATGGGTTTTCGGTCCCGTGATCAAAATTCAGACGCTTGGCAACTGGCTCGTATTTATGACGGTCACGGCGTCCCTGGAGGGGGTCACACGATCCCCTTTTGCGACCTTCTGACAAACAGGGGAAAGCAAATTCACTTAACAACCACATTACTCACTTAACAACTGCAGTGATTCCCTCATAAAACGGGGAAGGGATTCATTGAACAACAGTCTCGCTTAGCGACGGAAATGTTGGGCTCCGTTGGAGCTGTAAACTGAGGACGACTTGTAACTTCCCACCCGTCTCTCTCTCCTTGATTTCCCACAGATGTCAAGCAATATGCCGTGTTTGTGGGCAACGGACTCGGACGATTCGCCAGCCAGGAGGCCGGGACCGAGCGCCTCCACATCCAACGGATGCTGACCATCAACCGGACCCTGTTCATCGGGGAGAGGTAACTTGACGCTGCCATTTGCGTGACTTTTCTGCGGCCTCGGACATTCGACAGTGCGCAACGATCGCCCAGTTTTGGAATTTTTTTTTTCCTGGCGATCGATCAGCTGGTATAATGTAAGATAGACTGCCTCTGACAGTGGAGGTTCTATTTCGGTTAGCAATGGGTTGCTGCGTGATACGGGGAGCCAAGCGGGTGAATTATTTGAGCAGGCCTGGGGGAGGTCAGGAAGTTTGCAGTACGAGAGTAGATCAAATGGAATGGAAAATTGTCAGTAGGACTACAAAAATCCCCCGGAGTCAAAACTCATTTTATAAGAGTGTTTCTCAGTCTGGCTCACTTTAAGGGGCCTGGACTTCAACTCCCAGAATTCCCAAATTGCCTGGGGAATTCTGGGAGTTGAAGTCCACACAGTAATATTTATTTGTTATTTATATGTAGGGGTATGGGTCTATACCAGGGATGGGCAACCTTGGCTCTTTTATGACTGGTGGACTTCAACTCCCAGAATTCCTGAGCCAGCATGGCTCAGCATGGTAACCTCTCCCTTTCCCCTCAGCATGGCTGGCTCAGGAATTCTGGGAGTTGAAGTCCACGAGTCATAAAAGAGCCAAGGTTGCCTACCCCTGGTCTATGCATATGTTGTATATAGTATGTTTAGGTATGTGTCATGTATGTGTTTCACTTTGAGAGCGAGCAACTAGATTTCATTTTTGATGTGTGCCGTTGTGCCCACAGTAAAAAAAAATGACAATAGTTATCTTATCTTATCTTATCTTATCTTATACCTTCCCTTGCCTTATCTTACCTTCTCTTATTTTATCTTATTTTATCTTATCTTATACCTTCCCTTACCTTATCTTACCTTCTCTTATTTTATCTTATTTTATCTTATCTTATCTTATCTTATCTTACCTTACCTTACCTTATACCTTATCTTACTTTATCTTATCTTATATCTTATCTTATATACCACATTAATATCTTATCTTATATCTTATCTTATCTTATATCTTATCTTAATTCTTATCTTACTTTATCTTACCTTACCTTATATCTTATCTTACTTTATCTTATCTTCTTATCTTATCTTATCTTATCTTATATCTTATCTTATCTTATTTTATCTTATCTTATCTTATCTTATCTTAATATATTATTGTTTTATATAATAATGTGCGTGTATTATATAATATATATTAAATAATAATATAATACACACACATATAGATATATAATATTGTATCATGTAAACATATTGTTTGTTTGTTGTATGGAGTTACTAAACACCTGATCAACACCTCACAGAATATAATCAGTTTAGAAGACCCCAGATTGTAAGAGTTACTTAGAAACTCGGATCCCGTCCTTTTACAAACTAGAATTAAGCCATTATTGGTGAAAAAGGAGGCCTATTTTAATTCAGAGATTCTACCATTCAACCCTTCTTTGCCGCGCTCGATGCGTATTGCTCAGGAATGTTCTCTTCACATGCTCAGAGGCTAGTGGGTTTGGGAGCAGGCTGAGGCAGACAGCTTAGGGGGATCCTACTCCAGATTCAAATGAAGCCATGGAGTGGGGTTCACATCCCAGGTTTGCAAATCTGGATTCTTCAAGTTTGCAAATGAAAGACGCTGAAGGGCAGGGGGAAAAAAGCACTCTGTCCATGCACCAGTTCCCTCTCGGCAGCTTCCAAGGAGGCTTTGCTTTTATAATGATAAGCTTTAAATCCTGGTTAAAGGAGGCCCTGTCTGGAGCTGGCACTACGGGGCGAGAAAAAAGAAAAACTTCCATAATACGAGGTGATCGCAAAGCAGCCTGATTCCCAAATAAGCAGGCCGAAGGATGGAGCCGGCGGCCTGCTGCGTTGCCATGGCAACCTACAGACCACGGGAAGCGGGTGAAAAGGCAAACCCAGGAAAGCGAGACAAATTAGCAATGGTGGGTCAGGCGGCAGCAGGAGGAAGAAGTGAGAGCTTTTCAGAGGTTACAGGAAAGAGATGGCGCCAAGGAGATCGGCATTATGGGAAAAGCTGGCTCTTTTCCCATCATGCCCCTCTCAGATTTGCCCACGCCCCTTCCTGGATTGAGGCCTAGCGACTTGTGGTGTCTCCCGACAGGGTTCCCGGGTCCCGTCCCCCACCCTTCATTGCTCTGACAACTCAACAGAATTGCAGGTCTCTCATGCAACTGCATGAGGACTAGCACCTTGGCTGTGCCAAACAGGTGTTGAACAATGTTGGTACGGTCCTTCCAAGGCTTCCATCAGGGGTGGTGTGACAGGCTGCTTTTCCTACTACCCATCGTGCCCAGCAAAGCAGGGGATTATGGGGTTTAGTGGGGGGGGGTTAAAAAGGCAGGTGAAAGCAACAGTGGAGGGGGCACATGGATTAATCTTTGCACCCACAATAAAGTCACAGGGGGGGCAGTGGGAGAGATTAAGTCAGTTTGGTCTAGTGATTAAGGTGGTGAGTTCTAGTCTCCCACTAGGCATAAAAGCCAGCTAGGTGACTTAGGGCCAATCACCAGGAGACAGTGAGTTCTAGTCCCGCCTTAGGCATGAAAGCCAGCTGGTTGACTTTCAGCCAACCACTAGGAGACGGTGAATTCTAGTCCCGCCATAAGCATGAAAGCCGTCTGTGAGATTTTAGGCCAATCACCAGGAGACTGTGAGTTCTAGTCCTGCCTTAGGCATGAAAGCCAGCTGGTTGACTTTCAGCCAACCGCTAGGAGACGGTGAGTTCTAGTCCCGCCTTAAGCGTGAAAGCCATCTGTGAGATTTTAGGCTAATCACCAGGAGACAGTGAGTTCTAGTCCCGCCTTAGGCATGAAAGCCAGCTGGTTGCCTTTCAGCCAATCACTAGGAAATGGTGAGTTCTAGTCCCGCCTTAAGCGTGAAAGCCATCTGTGAGATTTTGGGCTAATCACCAGGAGACAGTGAGTTCTAGTCCCGCCTTAGGCATGAAAGGCAGCTGGTTGACTTTCACCCAACCACTAGGAGACGGTGACTTCTAGTCCCGCCTTATGCATGAAAGCCAGCTGGTTGACTTTCAGCCAACCACTAGGAGACGGTGAGTTCTAGTCCCGCCGTAAGCATGAAAGCTGTCTGTGAGATTTTAGGTAAATCACCAGGAGACAGTGAGTTCTAGTCCCGCCTTAGGCATGAAAGCCAGCTGGTTGACTTTCAGCCAACCACTAGGAGACGGTGAGTTCTAGTCCCGCCTTAAGCGTGAAAGCCGTCTGTGAGATTTTAGGCCAATCACCAGGAGACTGTGAGTTCTAATCCTGCCATACCATAGACATGAAAGCCAGCTGGTTGACTTTGGTCCAAACACTGAGTGACTGTGAGTTTTAGTTCTGTCTTAGGCATAGAAGCCAGCTAGGTGACTTAGGGCCAATCACCAGGAGACAGTGAGTTCTAGTCCTGCCTTAGGCATGAAAGCTATCTGCGAGAATTTAGGCCAATCACCAGGAGATTGTGGGTTCTAGTCCTGCCTTAGGCATAAAAACCAGCTGGTTGATTTTAGGCCAATCACCAGGAGACGGTGAGTTCTAGTCCCACTTTAGGCATGAAAGCCAGCTGGTGGACTTTCAGCCAGCCACTAGGAGACTGCGAGTTCTAGTCCTGCCATAGGCACGAAAGCCAGCTGGTTGACTTTGGTCCAAACACTGGGAGACCGTGATTTTTTTTAGGCATAAAAGCCAGCGAGGAGACGGTGAGTTCTAGTCCTACCTTAGGCCGGAAAGCCGGCTAAGCCAATGAATCTTTCTGAGCCCAGCCCACCTCACAGGGCCGTTGTTGTGGAGAAAAGAGAAGGGGAAAGGTGTGTTGAGGTTTTGGGTTGTTCTTTTGGGAGAGGCAAGATCGCTTTATCTTACAACCACACTATCCCGGTCCCACAATCTTTGCAACAATTGCCAATTTTGCAGTGGCTTCACGGCCCTCAGGCCTGAAATCTGGGAATTAATGAATTTAGGTTTTGGGGGTGTCGAGTTAATGGTGCCCCAGAACCTCGGGGAGATTAAGGCTTTGCTCGCTTGCGGTTCTTCGTGTCACGGATGCGATCGATCGGGCGCGAGTGACAGGTTTTTCCATCGTGCGGCGTAGTAGGGAATGAGGACGGTGGTTCTCCTCGGGGGCAAATCCTCGGCTTTTTCCGGCTTAATTAGGCTGACGTATGGCCGTCGGCGATGCAAGAATCCAATCGCGCAGAATCCGAGAAATTGGCTGAGAGGGGACATTTTTTTTCCCAAAGATTCTGTAGTTTGGAAATTAGGTCCCGAAAGTGAACACGTCAGAAAAGAAGATTTAGATCAGCCGTAATTATTATTATTATTATTATTTTAAAAAGCCCTTCTCTTGGAACAATTGCTTATGGTTTCTGTTAGAAAAGAAGTATACTTGCGTCTTTGTTTGTCCTTCCTTTTCTTCTTTCCTTCTTTCCTTCCTTCTTCCCCTTCTTTTTTTCCTTCCTTCCTTCCTTCCTTCCTTCCTTCCTTCCATCCTTCCTGCCTCCCCCTTACCTTTTCTCTCTCCTCCCTTCCTCCTTCTCTTTCCTTCCTTCCCTCCATCCTCGGTTTCTCCTCCTCACTTTTTCCTTCCTGCCTTCCTGCCTGCTTTCCTCCGTCTCTCCCTCCCTTCCTTCATCCGTCTCTCCCCCCTCCTTTCTTTTTTCTTCCTTTCTTCCTTTCTTCCTCCTGCCTGTCTTCCCTCTCTCCCTCCCCTTCTCTCCTTCCCTCTTTCTCTCCTTTCTTCCCTTGTCCCTCCCTCCATCTCTTTTCTCTCTTTCTCCTTCCTTCCCTCCTTCTCCCTCCCTGCTTCCCTCCTTCCCTCCCTTCTTTCTTCCCCTTATCTCCTTCCCTCTTTCCCTTCTTTATTCCCTCCCTCTCCTTTTCTCCTTCCCTCCTTCTCTCCTTTCTTTCCTTGTCCCTCCCTCCATCTCTTTTCTCTCTTTCTCCTTCCTTCATCTCTATCTCCCTCCCTCCTTTCTTTTTCCTTC